TGAGATGAGGTATTATGATTACTATGTTATTTACATTATTCGGACTTTTATCTTCATCTTCATTGCCATATTCACAACGTTTCAGCCTCTATATCTCTGAGATGAGATATTATGATTACTTGCGTTATTTACATTATTCGGACAGTTATCTTCCTCTTCATTGCCATATTCACAACGTTTCAGCCTCTATATCTCTGAGATGAGATATTATGATTACTTGCGTTATTTACATTATTCGGACTTTTATCTTCATCTTCATTGCCATATTCACAACGTTTCAGCCTCTATATCTCTGAGATGAGATATTATGATTACTTGCGTTATTTACATTATTCGGACTTTTATCTTCATCTTCATTTCCATATTCACAACGTTTCAGCCTCTATATCTCTGAGATGAGGTATTATGATTACTTGCGTTATTTACATTATTCGGACTTTTATCTTCATCTTCATTGCCATATTCACAACGTTTCAGCCTCTATATCTCTGAGATGAGATATTATGATTACTTGCGTTATTTACATTATTCGGACAGTTATCTTCCTCTTCATTGCCATATTCACAACGTTTCAGCCTCTATATCTCTGAGATGAGGTATTATGATTACTTGCGTTATTTACATTATTCGGACTTTTATCTTCATCTTCATTGCCATATTCCCAACGTTTCAGCCTCTATATCTCTGAGATGAGATATTATGATTACTTGCGTTAATTATATTATTCGGACTTTTATCTTCATCTTCATTGCCATTTTCACAACTTTTTCGGCCGTTGTACGGCAGAATGCTATCACCTTGTCAGAAGAGACTATAAAATTTGTCCATTAGATAAGTAAACATTTATTCATACTTAATTAGTTATGTCAATTTATAAAACTAATTTCACTGATTGTCCCTTTTTACAAGAATTAGAGTTTTACTTACCGAATATAGTAAAAAATTTATTTTACTTGTGGTGATCCATAATAAGAATTCTGGTTGGAATATGGTTGCCATTCAATGTGTCTAATACAAAAAATATCAACTTTATTTGAATTTATTCTTGAAATAGTTAAGTTTTGAAGTTTAGTAAAATTTTGTAAGCAAAAACTTGCTGGAAGTTGGCAGTACATTTCTCAGACGTATTTATGACTCTGAACTCAAAAAATGGTAAAAGCTATTTTGGGTGTCAGTACTTATCAACTCAAACCCAGCTTTCGCATCGAACGCCATGTTGAATTTCTAAAAAAAAAAAAAAAGCGCGAAAAATCAACCTGCTCTACTTAAACAGCAGGAGGTGATTGAACTTAAAAGTGAATGAAAAAAACTTTATTGATTAAAAATGATAATAAATGAACAGGTTTCAGGAAAACAGTGGATAAAGGCGTTGGTTAGATCCAGTGATAGACCCAAAAGAAGGTGAGTTCAATACCTGGTTAAGGCAGTGGAAAACTTTCAGAGGGAAAATTAGCAGAAGATAACTGATAACTGACATCCATCAAACATGGCACGTGGAACTAGAACAGTCTACCCCTGTGATCGAAATAAAGGGTTCAGTTCGAAATTCCAACCACCCGAAGAAGGCCGGAGCGTACAACGGCCGAAACGTTGTGACAAATATGGCGACAAAGATGAGGACAATAGTCCGACTAATGTAAATACTGTACATAATACCTCATCTCAGAAATATAGACAGACTCAAAACAGAAGATGTCGATTCACATTGCAGTTGAATATTTGAATATCGTAGATGAAGAGAAATTCAGAGGTGGGAAATGCGAAAAAAAACTATTAGAATAAAAATAACACTTCCAAATAAGGATTTAAATCGTAAATCAAATTTGGAATTTAGTAGTACGCTTAAATTCATCCTGTCGAATTAACAAGTGCGAGAGGTCATTAGAATAGATGCCATGAAATATTTATAGAAAAGGCAGAGGAACACCATACACCGTAAGTGGCAGAAGTTGAGATGCCATGTGAGGACTAATAACATTGCAGATCCTTTTGTAGATTTTGTCTAGGAAGCGCCAGATCAGATCTAGTCTACAGTCACTTTCTCACAGATGTGCCTTATCTTCCCTTTCTCGCTTCTATAGGTATTTTCATGGAAACTTTTCCGACGAGTTGCTTTCTCTGGTTGCCAGACTGCATGAATTTAAACGAGCTACTAGGTTGGCATTTCGGTCCCACGATCTCACTGTCGAAACGGTTAAATATAACCATCCCTTCTACTTAAAAAACTACTTCTTTCGCACTTCTCGTCTGTGAAATTCTCTTCCTCTTACTTGCTTGGCTGATAACTATAATCTTCAAATATCAAAGTGTAATCTCAATCGACATCTTTAGATACCTTGATCTTGTTCACCGTCCTTCTCTTAATCCCCTCCCCAAACACACACCCGTCCTGGCTATGACAATAAACTGCATCTGCTTCCTGGGTAAGACGATAAACTACGTCCAGCAGCAAGGCCTCTGATTAGGAGGCTTTGAGGAGCATGGAACCACCTCTAAATTGCTGGTGTTCCCAGGTCCACCTTGACCCGGGGTGGTAGGACCTGTTAGGGTTTCAACTATGGGTAAATAGTTAACCCTGAAACTGGGGTAAAAAAAAAAAAAAACTATGAAAGTGTAAAAACAGATTTTATTACCAGAAATACTTTGTAAAAAAATTATTTCCACAATAAATTTTTGAAGATAAAAAAAAAAAATTATTACCAGCAATACATTTTTGAAAAAAAAAATTACAACCCATGATTTTAAAAAGATAAATATTATTAGGAATACATTTTTGAAAAAAAAATTATTACCAGCTATACATTTTTGAGGAAAAAATATTACAAGCAATACATTTTTTTAAAAAGATTATTAGCAGCAATACATTTTTGAAGAGAAAATATTACCAGAAATAGATTTTTTGACCAAACAAAATATTAGCAACATTAAAAATTTTGTCGGCATTAAATAACCCATTGAGGTTGATATGCCGTAAAACAAAATAAACCTGACCAATATATACCAAGATAGATAGATAGATAGATAGATTCAGATAGATAGATAGATAGATAGATAGATAGATAGATAGAAAATATTACCAGCAATAAAAATGTTGTCGACATTAAATAACCCTTTGAGGTTGATATGCAGTAAAGCAAAGCAAACGAAACAGACCGCTCTCCTTTTATTTTTTCCCTTCTGCAACCACTCGTGCGTTAGTGACACTCCCGCCTTGCTTTTTGTGAAATGCTTAAAAAAACAAAAAAACAATAGAAAATAAAGCTATAAAGCAACATTGAATGCAGGGACGAATGGTAGATTAATAAATGTGTATAAAATGACAATAGGCAAAAATATTAGTATTTTTTGCCGGCGCGTTTCGTCTTCCAACTTTATCAATGCAAAATTGAAGCGAAATGTTTTTGTTTTCCTCCTTACATTAAATCCAAAGATTTAAAAAGAGAGACACTTTAGCATAAGCCTCTTTCTGGCTAATGTTAACTTCCTTTATACTAAGAGTATTTTTTTTTCCATATCATGAATATAGTAAAATTTCCGGGACAATTTAAATGTGCAAAATGGATAATGGCAATATATAATTATGTGGCACGACACAGCGAACCAAATATTTCGCAGCAGACATAAGAATTGATACAATATAAACACTTCACTATATTTGCATCTCATATTATAATCAATGCTTTTATTCTCTTTTGTTATGAATTCGGAAGCAACTTCAATGTTCTTAATAATAATTGTTTCTTTCTTTCTATCTTTCTATCAATCTATCTATCTCAGTTTGTTCATATCTATTTATCTATCTATCTATTTCTGTTCATATGTATCTGTATATCTATCTAATTCTCTTCATCTTTGTTCTCAATTCTGTCTTAGTATTTTCATATATTTCTATTTCTCTCTTACATTCTTTTCTCTCTCTCTCTCTCTGTCTCTATCTATCTATCTATCTATCTATCTATCTCTCTATCTATCCTGCTCTGTTCATATATATCTTTCTATCTATCTCGCTCTGTTCATATCTATCTATCTATCTATCTATCTATCTATCTATCTATCACACTCTGTTCATATCTTTCTATTTATCTCGCATTGTTCGTATCTATCTATCTATCTATCTATCTATCTATCTATCTATCTATCTATCTATCGCAGTCTGTTCACCTCTATCTCTCTATCTCTCTCTATCTCTCTCTCTCTGTCTCTCTCTATCTATCTATCTCATTCTCTTCAGCTTTGTTCTCAATTCTGTCTTCGTATCTTCAGATCTATCTATCTATCTATCTATCTATCTATCTATCTATCTATCTATCTATCTTACTCTGTTCATATCTATCTTTCTATCTATCTCGCTCTGTTCATATCTATCTATCTATCTATCGCAGTCTGTTCCCCCCTATCTCTCTCTCTATCTATCTATCTCATCTCTTCAGCTTTGTTCTCAATTCTGTCTTCGTATCTTCAGATCTATCTATCTATCTATCTTACTCTGTTCATATCTATCTTTCTATCTATCTCGCTCTGTTCATATCTATCTATCTATCTATCTATCTATCTATCTATCTATCTATCTATCTATCTATCGCAGTCTGTTCCCCTCTCTCTCTCTCTCTCTATCTATCTATCTATCTCATCTCTTCAGCTTTGTTCTCAATTCTGTCTTCGTATCTTCAGATCTCTCTCTCTCTATCTATCTATCTATCTATCTATCTATATCTATCCCACTCTATTCATATCTATCTATCTATCTATCTATCTATCTGTCTATCTATCTATCTATCTATCTATCTATCTATCTATCTATCTATCTCGTTCTGGTCATATCTATCTATCTATCTTAATATTTAATGTTCTTTATAACTGTTTCACTTGTGAATTGGTTTCTAAAATTGGTTTACTGTTTTCTGACTTGCAGATTTATGAACTAAAATCCTCTGTGGCACTCTCGTTTGATTGTTACAATTACAACGAGTTCTCGTTTCGTGCTTCGTATCACATACGTTATGGCCACCATTATTATTTTCCAACTCATTTACTCAATTCCATTTTCTCATCACCTTTCCGCTGGCGATCTTCTGCAGTTTGTTGCAGTTGTTTTATTTTGACTTTTATTATCTCCATCCGAAGTATATTTTTTTCTCATTTCCTCTCAATCTTAATTTCAACATTTTCATCAGCAACTCATTTGTCTTCTGTAATTCCACGCCTGTTATTATTTTAAAGTCGTTCTTTGTTTCTTTTGATGCCTGCTTTTTTTTCCTCACAGGGGAAAACTTGAGAGGATAATTCAGTTTATATCTCACACTATCTATCTATCTATCTATCTATCACACACTCATACACACATACACTATCTTTCTCTCTGTCTAGCTATCTACCTAACTCGCTCACACTAACTCACGTTCTCTCATACGCTATCTATCTATTTATCTATCTCAATCAGTTAATATCTATTATCTATTTATCAAATTATATATCTAGCTAGCTAGCAGGCGATCTCATTCTGTTCATTATCTATCTTTCATACCTGTCTATCTATCTATCTATCTATCTATCTATCTATCTATCTATCTATCTATCTATCTATCTATCAGTTTGTATCTAGCTAACTAGCTAGGCCACTCTGTTCAAATCTAACTTTCTATCTATCAGTCAGTTTGTATCTAACTAACTAGCTAGCACTCCATCGATCTCCCTCTGTTCATACTTATCTATCTATCTATCTATCTATCTATCTATTCGGTTTCTATCTATCTATCTATCTATCTATCAGTTTGTATCTAGCTAACTAGCTAGGCCACTCTGTTCAAATCTAACTTTCTATCTATCAGTCAGTTTGTATCTAACTAACTAGCTAGCACTCCATCGATCTCCCTCTGTTCATACTTTCATCTATCTATCTATCTATCTATCTATTCGGTTTCTATCTATCTATCTATCTATCAGTTTGTATCTATAACTACTCTGTTCAAATCTAACTTTCTATCTATCAGTCAGTTTGTATCTAACTAACTAGCTAGCACTCCATCGATCTCCCCTCTGTTCATACTTATCTATCTATTCATCTAATCTATTCGGTTTCTATCTATCTATCTATCTATCAGTTTGTATCTAGCTAACTAACTACTCTGTTCAAATCTAACTTTCATATCTATCAGTCAGTTTGTATCTAACTAACTAGCTAGCACTCCATCGATCTCCCTCTGTTCATACTTATCTATCTATTCATCTATCTATCTATTCGGTTTCTATCTATCTATCTATCTATCTATCAGTTTGTATCTAGCTAACTAGCTAGGCCACTCTGTTCAAATCTAACTTTCTATCTATCAGTCAGTTTGTATCTAACTAACTAGCTAGCACTCCATCGATCTCCTCTGTTCATACTTATCTATCTATCTATCTATCTATCTATTCGGTTTCTATCTATCTATCTATCTATCTATCAGTTTGTATCTAGCTAACTAGCTAGGCCACTCTGTTCAAATCTAACTTTCTATCTATCAGTCAGTTTGTATCTAACTAACTAGCTAGCACTCCATCGATCTCCTCTGTTCATACTTATCTATCTATCTATCTATCTATCTATTCGGTTTCTATCTATCTATCTATCTATCTATCAGTTTGTATCTAGCTAACTAGCTAGGCCACTCTGTTCAAATCTAACTTTCTATCTATCAGTCAGTTTGTATCTAACTAACTAGCTAGCACTCCATCGATCTCCCTCTGTTCATACTTTATCTATCTATCTATCTATCTATCTATTCGGTTTCTATTCATCTATCTATCTATCTATCAGTTTGTATCTAGCTAACTAGCTAGGCCACTCTGTTCAAATCTAACTTTCTATCTATCAGTCAGTTTGTATCTAACTAACTAGCTAGCACTCCATCGATCTCCCTCTGTTCATACTTATCTATCTATCTATCTATCTATCTATTCGGTTTCTATCTATCTATCTATCTATCTATCAGTTTGTATCTAGCTAACTAGCTAGGCCACTCTGTTCAAATCTAACTTTCTATCTATCAGTCAGTTTGTATCTAACTAACTAGCTAGCACTCCATCGATCTCCCTCTGTTCATACTTATCTATCTATCTATCTATCTATCTATCTATTCGGTTTCTATCTATCTATCTATCTATCTATCAGTTTGTATCTAGCTAACTAGCTAGGCCACTCTGTTCAAATCTAACTTTCTATCTATCAGTCAGTTTGTATCTAACTAACTAGCTAGCACTCCATCGATCTCCCTCTGTTCATACTTATCTATCTATCTATCTATTCGGTTTCTATCTATCTATCTATCTATCTATCTATCTATTCGGTTTCTATCTATCTATCTATCTATCTATCTATCTATCAGTTTGTATCTAGCTTGCTAGCTAGATAGTTAGGTCATACTGTTCAGTTGTAACGTTCTATCTATCACTCTATCGATCTCACTCTGTTCATATCTATCTATCTATCTTTCGATCTATCTATCTATGTATCTATCTATC